CGTGAAGACGAAATAAAGCAGTAAGAGAACATTCAATTGTTAGGTCAACTTTAAAACACATGTAATCACCTTATTTGTTTTATACCAATGCTATCTGTAAGGTATAAATGCGTTTGGGTGAATAAATGTCTGTAAGAACAGCGGATGGACTGTATTTGTGTCATTTTGTTAGGTTAATGCTTCAGCTACAGATGATGTGTTGTGCAATTGTTAATTGGGTTTTCTTTAGTAAATGGCATTCATTCTCGCTACATAAGATACCTGTCTGTTATGTAGTGCCCTGTTATACTGCATTAATGTGTAATATGTATGGTTTCTATAGCCGTGGCATCATTATGATGGTATGAAGAGATGGATTCATTCATGTAGGACGCCACTGAAGGCCTAGGTGTAAAATGTACGGCCCGCCACTGATAAATAGTGACAGTAAAGACAAGTGAAATGTTATAGATCTCTTTTTAAATAAATGCTTTCTATTCATCAAACAATCACAAAAAATGTCAAGGTTTCCACAAAATTATTAAGCAGCACAACCATTTTCAACATAGATAATAAAAAGAGATTTCTTGAGCAGTAAAGCAGCATTAGAATGATTTCAGAAGCATCATGTGACTCGGAAGACTGAAGTAATCCAGCTTTGCTATCACTGGAATAAATTACATTTTAAAATACATTAACATACAAAACATTCATTGAAATTGCAAAAATATTTAGTTTTTTATACATATATAAAATTAATGTAGCCATCATGAAGATTAAAGATTTTAAAGAAAAACATTTTGACCATGTAGGCTGTTAATTGTGATTTATTTGATGAATTAATCATTGATAAGCATAATAATTAGTTAATTATTTTGATTCAAAGTGGCTTGTTGTTTTAAATGACAAGCCTAATCATTAATAATATCTGATTAATTTTATTAATTTTATCATTGAGTGATTTGGTCTATAACTCCAGAAGAAAAGCATTCGGTTTGAGCGACAGAGAAATCACAAAACCGCTGAGAATGACCAGTGAGATCTGTTACCAACAAAGAGACGTTCGACAGAACAAGTAAGAGCAAAATCATAGAATGATGTGAAAAACGTGCATTCTTAAATCATAACTCTCCATCCCGAGAACCCAGACTTGATGACTGTCATAATTTTGCCTGTTCTTTTGTTTGTTTTGTTGCTGCCATATTGTTTTCTTTCCCTTTTTTTCTTGCCATGCAACTATCTGTCAGGCTGTTGTGCCAGAGGGGAACAAATCATCACTCTTCTGAAGAGACTGAGCCAACAAGTCCTGATCAATCACACAGATAGAGCTGCCTGAGTCGGGTTAGAGGAGGCATAGCTGACACTGGTGTTTCGGGCTGAGAGATTGAAGCTGTCAGCACTTTCTTAATGCAAATCCCCCCGGCCTTTGCTCTCTGACAGCCAGATCTAGAAGACTCATGCTGGGAGGAACCGGGGAAATTCCGAACACAGCGGGTGAATCGTGGTTGCCTGACAAAACAGGCAACACTGCCTCACTCTGTCAAGACAATGAGCGGTGAGCATAGCTTATCGAGAACACGCCCTACGAAGAGTCTCTGCAAAGAACATGCCTCGTTTTCTAAATCCAGACTAAATCCAGTCAAATATTGTTTAGTGTGAATTTCATCATCGAAGTTACTGATGAAAATGTTTTTTGTCAATGAAAACGAAGATGAAATGAAAAAAGCACATCATGATGGTAACTGAATGATTTTTAACTGAAGAAATATGCTATCACGTTAATTAACTCAAAGACCATATATATGTAAGTTTAATCAGATACACTAAAAGTTTGGGGGTAAGGGTTTTTTATAAGAAATAAATACATTTATTTAGCAATGAGGTTTATCAAAAATAAAAGCAAAGGTATTTATTACTAAATATTTCTATTTCAAATAAATGCTTTTCTTATTAACGTTCTATTGATCAATTTTTTAAAACTGTGATGATAAAAAAAAAGGTTTCTTGAGCACCAAATCAGCATATTAAAATGATTTCTGAAGGATCGTGTGACATTGAAGACTGAAGCCTTCTGAAAATTCATTTTGGCCTTGACAAGAAGAAATTACATTTGAAAATATATTAAAATTGAAAACAGTTGTTTTAAATTGTAAAAAATATTTCACAATTTTACTTCTTACATTTTTAAATACATAAATGCAGCCTTGCTGAGCACAAGAGTCTTCTTTCAAAAACATTAAAAAACCTACGGACCCCAACATTTTTGAACTGTAGCGTATATACACACAACATAAACTTAAAATTAGAACTTGCATTAATACAAAATTATACAAATGCACAAGTGACTTTGTAACTTTATATCTAACCCTCAGAAAAATGAAAAGCTAAAGCATAAAGAACTCACAGCATTGTATTATGTGTACTTATTATAATGTCATTTCAAGAGCTAAGATTTTCACAAGCAATCCAGGATAGTTTTCACATGCAGTTTATGTTAAACTTTGATTTATGGTGTAATTGTGCACTTTCTTAACAAACAAGATGTTTCTATTACAAAATTTAAATTTGACTAAAATTTAAAAGGCATTTTCTTCAAAAGACAGAAACTATTACTAAAATCAAAAAACCTACAGTATGTAAAATGAACACTGTCTGTTATATCAAAATGTTGCAAGCTCATAGTTAGCTATGTGAATAAAACGAAATAAAATTGGTCTTAATGGCACAAATATTTGAAGGGAACTTCAATCACCCACTTAAGTACTGAGGTTTGTTCTTGCTACAATAATGTCACATGGTTATATATAATGGTTATAATAATGCCCGGTTCCAAGCACTGTTGTTTCATTGAGTAGTTTGATATGTCAGCTTTTGGCTTAACCAGTGGCATGAGTTTGGAGACTACCTATTTGTTTAAACAAAGGCAGATGGGGTCCGTTTTGGCACTGCTTGGTGACCAGAAATTTACACTTTACATAAAACACACACTTTAAACCATCAAAATTTCCCAAGTGTGCTTGAGCACTGGTATTCACTTCATCATGAGCCATGACATAGCGGCACTTTTGAAAGACTGTTTAAAACCCCCCTCATAAATTCCCAGTCTTTCCTTCATCTTCATAAGGCAAACAGAACAGATGATATAGACGGCTCATGCAACGTCATGCTACATTCACTCACTCTTGACCTGTTATTCCAAAATCCCAGGAGAGAGATGATGGGTTACAAGGATATCATCGCTTACCTGCAGAGGCCAAGCTGCTGAGGGTCAAAAACAGGATGGTGGAGGGGCGTATGTGTGCCGTTAGCCACATGGCTGGAACAGAATGCTTTCCTGAAGACAGACGTGGCAGAAAAAGTAGCAGCAGGGTGTCTTCTTGAATGGTCCCCACTAGCTCTGTAGAATGAGAGAGAGAAAGATGTCAGTCAGTGACCAAGCAGCAGGGTATTAGGGTCTTAATGTCACATCCTGTGGGCTTAGATTGGAAGAGACAGCAGGGCTCTGGTTGAGGTGGCGGTTGTCAATTTGTCACTTGTTAATCTCAACCCACTAATTAAGCCTTATGTGAATGGTAGGAATGAAGAGAACAAGAGATAGGTCATCTAACAACCTCAGCTGCAGTATGAAAAGAGGCAGCTTTGTCATTTTGGGAAATATTTAAAAGAAAAAATTACATTTACTGTACTTTTGATTAAATAAATACAGATTTGGTGAGCATAAGAGACTTCCTTAAAAAATTACAGCTCACATTTACACAAAATAATGCAAATAAACAAGTGAACTTGAACTAACTTACATCCTGGTCACACTTTGAATACTGTACGCTTGTTTCATAATAACTCGAACATGTCTAATCTCCAGAAAATGAAAAACTGATGCATAAAGAATTCACAGTATCAAAAAATACTGTGAAAATACTCAATATGTTCAATATGCATAGTGATTTAAACAACACAATAAAAGATATGCTGCAGTGAAGATAACAGTCAGGTTAGACACTTGGAGTTTGCTGTTAATACTACGTATTAACAGACGACAGCTAATTAACACGACCACAGCTGAACTGAGAGTTGAAGCGGCCAATCGGAGTTCACCGGAGGGTGGGCTAAAGCCAACATATGCCACACCAGTAGAGTTTAAATACAGCATGCATTATCCACATGAAGTTTCACTTAGTCCACTACCTGACAAAACGGTGCAATAATAAACATACCATCTGCATCATGACAGGTATCGAGTCATTAAATAAAAACCTTTCAAACAATTCTACACTGGCATTCAAACATTTACGTCTGCTCAGAGACTCTGAAATGTCACGTCAGACTCGATTCAGTTCGTTTAATTCCATTTTGACAAATTGAACTTTTTGAAAAGTGAAAATGACAAGTTTTCCATTGGCCACCGTCCCAACCCTGTAATACACGTTCAGTGTATTTGAAGTAAATAATGGTGATTGTAGGTCCAAACATCAGCAAAACTGATCTTAAAAGCAATTTTATATTATTATTTTCAGACAGTTTATTATTATAAATCCATAAAAAGTTTCATATTTCTAAGACTTTAGTTCAGAGTGCCGCAAGACTCCAGTTTGTGACTGTTGCACAACTCAACTCGACATTGCTGCCTCTCTGATGTTTCTTTTCATTAGCTCGTAAAGATGACCAATTATGAAAGTAGCAGATTTTAAGAGCCATACATCGCCATCCCACACAGTGTGCGTAGATACATGTACACATGCAGGCCAATAACACTCTTATTATCCTGACCAAACAGCATCACAGGTTTGTCACACTAGTTTACTGAGGTAAAACCAGGCATTTCACTAATGGGTTTAGCAGTTACATTCAGCACAAGTAGCCACCCGTGCAGCAACGGGTGAGGAACAGTCCCTTAACCCAAAGCACGCTAGCTCAGGGTATTGTGGAGAATCAATATGTGTAAAACTTACACAAAGATGCACAGTGGCACATGTGGATTAAAACCTCAAATGTCAATCAGAACATTTATCAGTGGTTGAAAACAACCACATGCTTTACTGGGGGTGTCCCCAAGAGAGGAATAACGAAAGCCGCAACTTCATCAGCATCTGAAACTCTCTCTAGCTTTCTCTCTGCTTCTTTCTTTCTCCTATCTTTCTGCCTTTTTCTCATTTTCTCTCAGTAAGGTGAGGATAGAACACTCTCTCCTCTCTCCTCTCTCCTCTCTCTCTCTCTCTCTCTCTGCAAACAGCTGCCGGAACAAAGAGCCATTCACGTACGGGCAGCTGCTGAGGCTGGGAAGTCATTTTGGAGAATCTCAACAAATATTGCACTTCCAGCCCAGGGGCCCCAAGCCAGTGCCCTCTGCTTTTGATTTGGTGCCTCCCTCTCTTGCCATTCTCACACCAAGAGCAGAGGCATTTTGGAGTCCTCAGATTTAAGAGGATGTTATCAAGGGTGAACCAAAGCAAAACAAAACAAATAAAAGTACTTCATTTTTATCTGCTACCTGGGGCCTGTTTGATAAAACAAGTTTACCAAATAAACCAGGTTTATTTCAGTTAGTCTGACTTATTGTCAGTTGATTTGGTCCAAAATACGTCAGACTTGAAATATGCCTGGCTTATTTGGTAAACTTGTTTTATGAAACAGGCCCCTGGTTGGGACAAAAGAAAATTAAAATAAATAGATAAATGAATAAAAATAAAAAAGCTGGCCTGGATTGGGAAACAATTTTTTTTTAAACAAAACAAAATAACGCGCTTAACAAAAAAAATATGTTGGCCTAGTTGAGGCAAAACAATAAAATAAAATACTTAATGAAAAAAAAAATCTGCAGGCCTAGTTAGGGCAAAACAAAATGCAAAATTAAAATACTGCCCCAGGCCCATTGGTGTTATGTTACGGTACACTGCATGTTATTTTTCAATTAATTATTTGACCGTAGCGAATATCATCCTCTCGAATAGCTGTGTGAGTATAATATCTGAACTTTCTAAGCATGTCGACCAAAAGTGGACCATTGGAACAATAATTGTGGACCCTAAACTACAACCATGGGCACATGGGCAACTCTGTTTAACTCAGTCAGTTATAAAATATAATGTGTTTGTTTCATTTTAGAGACTGATCACCTTATATGACTTCTGCTGAAAGATTGTGACTCTCCCTCTATTTCTCGGCAGAAAGATATAGTACAATAACATTCAGAAACAGTCTGGAAATGTCATTAGCAAATTCAAGGCAGCAGACCCCAGACTGAACATAAGTGCCGCAAGACTCCAGTTTGTGACTGTTGCACAACTCAACTCGACATTGCTGCCTCTCTGATGTTTCTTTTCATTAGCTCGTAAAGATGACCAATTATGAAAGTAGCAGATTTTAAGAGCCATACATCGCCATCCCACACAGTGTGCGTAGATACATGTACACATGCAGGCCAATAACACTCTTATTATCCTGACCAAACAGCATCACAGGTTTGTCACACTAGTTTACTGAGGTAAAACCAGGCATTTCACTAATGGGTTTAGCAGTTACATTCAGCACAAGTAGCCACCCGTGCAGCAACGGGTGAGGAACAGTCCCTTAACCCAAAGCACGCTAGCTCAGGGTATTGTGGAGAATCAATATGTGTAAAACTTACACAAAGATGCACAGTGGCACATGTGGATTAAAACCTCAAATGTCAATCAGAACATTTATCAGTGGTTGAAAACAACCACATGCTTTACTGGGGGTGTCCCCAAGAGAGGAATAACGAAAGCCGCAACTTCATCAGCATCTGAAACTCTCTCTAGCTTTCTCTCTGCTTCTTTCTTTCACCTATCTTTCTGCCTTTTTCTCATTTTCTCTCAGTAAGGTGAGGATAGAACACTCTCTCCTCTCTCATCTCTCTCTCTCTCTCTCTCTGCAAACAGCTGCCGGAACAAAGAGCCATTCACGTACGGGCAGCTGCTGAGGCTGGGAAGTCATTTTGGAGAATCTCAACAAATATTGCACTTCCAGCACAGGGGCCCCAAGCCAGTGCCCTCTGCTTTTGATTTGGTGCCTCCCTCTCTTGCCATTCTCACACCAAGAGCAGAGGCATTTTGGAGTCCTCAGATTTAAGAGGATGTTATCAAGGGTGAACCAAAGCAAAACAAAACAAATAAAAGTACTTCATTTTTATCTGCTACCTGGGGCCTGTTTGATAAAACAAGTTTACCAAATAAACCAGGTTTATTTCAGTTAGTCTGACTTATTGTCAGTTGATTTGGTCCAAAATACGTCAGACTTGAAATATGCCTGGCTTATTTGGTAAACTTGTTTTATGAAACAGGCCCCTGGTTGGGACAAAAGAAAATTAAAATAAATAGATAAATGAATAAAAATAAAAAAGCTGGCCTGGATTGGGAAACAATTTTTTTTTAAACAAAACAAAATAACGCACTTAACAAAAAAAATATGTTGGCCTAGTTGAGGCAAAACAATAAAATAAAATACTTAATGAAAAAAAAAATCTGCAGGCCTAGTTAGGGCAAAACAAAATGCAAAATTAAAATACTGCCCCAGGCCCATTGGTGTTATGTTACGGTACACTGCATGTTATTTTTCAATTAATTATTTGACCGTAGCGAATATCATCCTCTCGAATAGCTGTGTGAGTATAATATCTGAACTTTCTAAGCATGTCGACCAAAAGTGGACCATTGGAACAATAATTGTGGACCCTAAACTACAACCATGGGCACATGGGCAACTCTGTTTAACTCAGTCAGTTATAAAATATAATGTGTTTGTTTCATTTTAGAGACTGATCACCTTATATGACTTCTGCTGAAAGATTGTGACTCTCCCTCTATTTCTCGGCAGAAAGATATAGTACAATAACATTCAGAAACAGTCTGGAAATGTCATTAGCAAATTCAAGGCAGCAGACCCCAGACTGAACATAGTAAGTAGCTACTCCACACTATTACGGTGTAGGTGGAGTGGCCAACACCATATGGTTTAATACGCAGCCTCGCTCTGAACTCAAAGAGGCACTTCACTCTGGAGGAAGAAGCGTGCCTTAAAACTATAAAACCATCCACATTCAGTTCAAAATGAGAAACTGACTTAATGAAAGACAAATCATTCACAAGCAGGTCAGAATTTGTGTTTATCACATTAGGTTTCTTGTGTAAAATTATATTTTGTATAAAATCAAGGATTTGCAGAATGCACATTCCAGTGTTGAGATGAGCTCAACTTGGCAAACTGTTCCTAAGCCAATCCCTCCAATGTCAAAAGCTGTCCTTTAAAGACCCCATGAAATGGTTTGATGAACGCAATGTTCTTTCCTGCATTGACCTTATGTAATTCCAAACTCATATGACTTTTTTGTTTTACCATAGTTTGTTATTGGGCAGAAAATGCTCATTGTACAATTTCAAA